AGGAACGTCCGAATCCCCGTGTGCTGGCAGCAGCTCCCGCCCACCTGAGGGACACGAACAAGGGATGGAGATTTCCTGCTGATGCAGCTGTTTCCTATGGAAATGCGGGTTGGCCGAGCGGGTGCCTTCGGGATTTCTTATTAGGGTTTTTCCTGTGTTAATCCCGCACGAGGAGAGAAGTCAGTGCCTGGAGTCGTACACGCAGCCAGGGGTTTGTTCCCAGGGATTTTCCCAAGCCGAGCACAGCTCAGGCACTGCCCCCAGCCCAACACCCCTCGGTGGGTCGCCGCAGCCCCGTCCCGCAGCACAGATGGTCCCGTAATTGCTGTTTGCTTTCCCATCCTGGGTTTCTGGGACATGTGTTTTGTGTTGTGATCCCTCCAGCCTCCCCGGTTTTGTGAATCACACTCCATAAAATAATGGCTACCTTGGGAACGCGAGGCAGGACGTTCATCCTTCCTGTGCACGGGAGTTTGTCACTGTCTGCCAGGACCAGCTCATAAAGCAGAGTCCTTGCTCTTAATCCCGATTTTGCAATACACTGAAGCACATCCACATCCACCACACCTCCATCCACCTCCATCTGTGACACTCAGGGATGTTCTTAACTCGTTCCTGTGGTTTTCTGCTTTAATTAATCCAGTCTCATTTCCTGCCTGTCCTGGTCCCCACCAAGCTCTTCCCATTGTCCCTCTGTTTTTGCCTCCATCAATAAATTATATCTATTATATATTCCTCTCTAAAGCACTTTAAAGTGTAAAGGTGAGAGGTGAAATAAGAAATACAACACAGCAACCCCCTTTCTCTTGCTGAACTTCCCTGGCACTGCTGCTTCACAGACGATATCTTTGGATATAAACAGTGTCAAGTTTTCTAAAACTAAAATACATTAAAATAAATGATAAATTAAACCTTCGTAGCGGCACCAGCACTAAAAGCCTGCAGATGATTCCCTGAGACACAAATACAGTAATCTGGATTTTTCCAGGTAGATAATGAGATCCTGTGTGACAGGATCCTCTGTGCTGGCAGAGCCCTCTCCTCCAACCCGAATCCCTCCTGACTTCTTCCAAAGGGAAAGGGGGAATATTTCACCCAGCTAAAAAGGAGCGAACGCTGATGTTTAAACAGAAATCTCGGAGGAAGCCGCCTGTGTAACCACAGCTGGTTTGCTGCAGACCCGAACACTCACAGCCAATTTGCTTGTTTGGTGTAATAGAATTCCAAGGCAGTCCATGGAGCTCCACCAGGGATTCATTCGCCCTTTTGTAGTTACTGGGCCAGGCCTGGAAGGGGGAAGGAAAGGAGGGACCCACCAAACCCCACCTCTTTGCCACCAGAGCCAGTGCAGCACCAGCAACTTTGCTGTGGAGGCTAGTTTGGATTTGGGGATGTTCCTTGGTGGAGGAGATGCCCGGAAAAGGTGGGAAATCCACGGGATGCAGCTGAGATGTGCTGAAATAAAGACCTTTTACCCCAGTCCTGTCCCCACAGCCAGAGAGGAGCCATGCAGAGCCCCAGCTACAGGGATCCAGGGTGGGTTTATCCCCTGAAAGCTGTTTGGGAAGGTGAACCCTGCCATCCTCCCCCTCCCACACGTGCCAAGCTCTTCCGTGCAGCCAAATCCTTCCCCAGGGCCGGCTCAGGAACCAGTTGGAGCAGGATCCTCCACACTGCTGCTTTTAGTGTGTGAGCTTGCTTGGATTGAGGCTGTTCCTTAAGCTCCTGTGCCTGTGGAATGGGAGCTCTCCATCAGTTTGGGGGTGTTCAGGAAGCCCCAATGTTGCACTCCCAGGGATGCACTGTTTCCCCACTTGAGCTAAAACCACACGGACACGGGAGCTCAAGGTTGCCTTTCTCTGTCCTTGCAGCACTGCTGGGGGATTTTTCCTCTTCTTGGATTTTCTGTGACTTTTTAAAACTCACCACAGTTGTTCCCGAAGGTGGGAGAGCTCCGAGTGTGCCCTGGGATGCACAGAGCAAACACCCTTTCTCCCAGCCCACCCCGCAGTGAGGTGCTGGGGCTTTTCCCCACTCTCCTTTGGGACACATCCAGCCTTTACTCCTGAAACTCAGAGTCAGGAAATGCAAAGATCCTTTTCCCCATTTTCCCCGCACTGATGGCGAAATCCTCTTTCCCCTTCCTTTAGCACTGGCTCAGCTGTGTGTGCCTCTCCCACCCCAACACCTGTGGAGGCGAGGTGGGCTATGAGGGACAATCCCTTAATCCCTGCTGGTTCCTGGCCCAGCTCCTCCCCCTTTTACCAACAGGTACCTCAGCAAGCTGCTGCCACAGCCCAAACTGTGAGGTGGGGACACAGGTCCCCGTGGTGCTGCTGTTCAGGCAGTCCACAGCCCTGGGTGTTGTCCCTCTCCCGAAAAACAGGCCAGGCTTTGGGGATCCTGTCGGGGCTTTGGTGTTTGTTCTTCCCACTTAACGAGGGGAAGAAAAGCCCGAGCGGCGCGGCGCTGCCAGGCTGGAGCCCGGCAGACACAGCCATATTGTTCTGGAATCAGCAATTAGCTTCCCATTTTTCTCCCTCATCCCTCCGAGAAAGGGACGAGGAAAGGCCCCACTTCAGAATAAATTAGTTTCTCAAAAGAGAGGGAGCTCTGCAGATGGCTCCCTTGTGCTTCCCACCCTTGTGCAGCTCTGGAGGTGCACTCGGTGCCCCATCCTCAACCTGCCCGTGCTCCAGATGTTCTCCCATTCCGAACACCTGGAACAGGGGAGGTGGCCTCACCTCCACCTCCTTTCCCCAAAAAGCAGCTGTTAAATAATATTTATCAATAAACTTCAGCACGAATTTTGCCCAAGTGTTTCCCTCCGGAACACTGTGGGTTTGTCGCTGAAGTTGTGGGGTGGATTTAGAACTTCAGGATTCCCAGAGTCTTCATTTTCCTGCTACAGATGACACTCTGTTTAGCAATGGGAGTCCAAGGGGTAGACTTTGGAAGTCACTTGTACACTTCTAATAACTGGAGTGAGTGTGCTCTGTGTTACACCAGAACTGAGCTCGCTCTGGTCTCAGCAGTGCTGTGGTTTCCCTCCCATTCCTGTGGCTCAGAGCAGAGGGAAGAACTCCCATAAAATATAATTTTTAGGGAGCACTTTGGCAGCAATATAAGCTGCCTTTGCTTGTCAGGTGGGGAGCAGCTCTGGTCTGAGGAGAGACAACATCTGTGCTCGTGGAGCAGCTCTTGGCAATGCCCAACTGCCTTAAATGGAGCCTGGATGAGTCTCATCCAAAGGTGGCATTTCTGAAGGGAAGCAGTGAAATGGGGCAATCACAGAATATCCTCAGGTGGAAGGGACCCATAAGGATTATCCAAGTCCAACTCCTACACAGTATCAGGGTGTTTTTAAGGAGAGTTGCCCTACTGCACCTTGAGGGCTTCCAAGGGTGTCGCTGTTAAGGATATTTATTTTTCCCTGCTGCTTCACCAATAACTGGTATTTCTCTGGGGAATCACTATCTCCAAATAGCTGAAGTTTCGCTCTGTCTTTCCCTGTGTAACATCTGGATCCTGCAAAAATCATACCAGAGGTTGATCCTGCTCTGTTTGTAAGATCCTGATGGACCGAGGACCACCAGAATAAGGCAGGAAGTATTTCAGCTTCCTGAGTTTTCTGCAGTTTAGTTGGATTTCAAGCAGACCCTTAGAATCTCACCCTCACTGTGTGTGCATTTAGCTCCTGGTGCCCCATGGGTTTCTTGTTCCGTGTGCCAGTTCCTCCTTGGAGGTTTCCCAGGTTTAAAACCAATAGGACAAACTGGACACTGGAATAGGTTCCCCCTGGCAGTGGTCACGGCCAAAGCTCAGGATGAGTTTGTACAAGGCTCTCAGGGACATGGTGGGATGCTGGAGCCGCCCTGTGCAGGGCCAGGAGTGGGACTCGTGATCCAACTCAGGAGATTCCGTGACTCAATGGAAAAACCCCATTCTGCAACTGATGGAGGGGCTTCAGTGCTGTAGTGCTGCCAAACACATATTAAACAACTTCGAGGCTTTTTGGGTCTCCTTTAGGGTTTTAAATCCTTTTTTGAGGAGAATACGGCGATTTCCAGACGTTCTGGTTGGGAAGAAGACACGATCGCCGTCGTGTCACACCTCCTGGTGAGACCACGGGGACCACGGACACGGCGTGTCCCGGTGGGGACAGGCTCTGCGGGGAAACCTCTGGGACACCAGAGAACTCCCTGTTGGCTTTTTTCCCCCCTAAACCAGAAAGGGGTATTTCCCCGGTGCCGGGTCACGGGGCCGCTCGGGGGGAGCCACAGCCAAGGGGGGCCCGTGGCCTTTCCAGTGCCCATCCCCGGGTGGGAATGATGGGCGCCCGGCCCCCCGCGCCTCGTGCCTCTCCTCCCTGGCAGCTTCCCGGGGGGCTCCCGCCGAACCCCCGGGACTCCCGACTTCCCCGGAGTTTGGATGCGGGGCCTCGGTTTAAGCGCGGCTGCCCCCGGGATGCTCCGGGCACACCCGGGAGGGGCGAGGGCGTCCCGGGGGGCGGGAGGGGGGGGGTTGGTCCCTGACAGCGCGCGGGGCCGCCTCACGTCCCCGTCCTGCGAGGGACCCGCGGCCGTCGGGGCCCCCCGGGTGCGCGGCTATCCCGGTGTTCCCGGTTGTCCCGGTGATCCCGAGCCCCGCGCGGGGGGCGCGGGCTGAGGGGCTCCGTGAGGGGTTGG